TTGATAAATATCACGTCCACCTCCTATGGCATGAACTTCACTTCAGCACCACCCTTGGACTGGTCTGGCTATTCCGATGTTGAGTGCCTTCCCGATTTCGCCTGGACACTATCGTATTGTATGCGTATAACGTACTTGTTCAGTACTGTACCCTTCCATCCCCTCCACACTTCCGAGCAGGATCCAACGCCGCATTTGTAATTGTTCGACACTTTTACGACTCCCTCCAACCCTCTTATCAGTGCCCCGATACGGTCTTTCTTCTGTACCACATACTGAGTGGATCCACTGCATGAGTAAGTAATGGGAATGAAATAAACAAAATGAGGGAGATGAGTAAAAGGAATGCCATAAAAATGAACACTGAAATGATGTGAAATGAACTAAATATTAATTTCCGGTTTTGTTAACACGTTGACGACAGCGAGCAGCGCATGCGCTGCACACTCTGAGCACCGTGTAGGACCGTGTGCAGCGGTTTGTCGCATCCAAGTTTTGCACATTTACAAGCTCAAAATCCACGGATTTGATGTGAGGCGGCGGCGCCTGCAAAATCGCTCTGGTCCCACGCGGCGCAAAAACCCAAAACGCGCGTTGTCGTCAACGTGTTAAATGATTTGATTTTCAATTATTGGAGCCTAATGCGTCAAGTGGTAGTAAGCAAGCGCGTTTGCTAATCGGGCACCGGCTGAGAAAAATGAATAGTCCATCAATAAGGTATTTCCAAAGCTGTGAAATTTGCAGCTCACCAGGTTCCTGCTTTCTGGTCACCACTACTTTACATTAACCCATTGCCGACATCAAACATTGCGGCTCGATGTGGGGACGCACTTTTCTGCCACCTGGCACAATGCGGCTCGATGTGGGGGCAGCATACAGATAATTCTTCTGCGCAGGATTTCCAAAATTATTATAATGGCATATTAATCAGGAAGGCGTTGTAGTACTTATGGTATCATGGCCGTGCATATCTTTCCTAATGATGTTTCACACAAGGGTATTTCAAAGTGATTTTTAAAGCAAAGCTTGTTATTTTCGAGTGTATAAGGCTGCCTTTTTTTTCACCGGTGTGCAGAACTCAAGGACGAGATGGATAAATTGACATAACTTATTAACAATTCAATGGAATTGGATGAAACTGTGCGGGCATAATGCTAGAAGCCCTACAGTCATGGGCACCGAAGTGGGCCTCATATGTCTTGCATCCGGCTTCAATCTGGAGCCTAAAGGGAGGTGGCCACCCAGAACGATGGGTAGCAGGACAAGAGGGAGTGTACTGAAGCAGGGAGAAGTGACTGTGGAATGTAGTGGTGTTCTTGATTACATCAAGTCTCAGAGACAACACTAGGGTGACTTTACGCGAGGAAGAATCATTGGGAAACTGAAAAAGGAAGTTGTGTCCAGGAGTTTTGTGTCAACCACAGCATTGTTTTTTGTGCATGAGAAGCAATATGGACCGCAGCCACTGCTGCCCAGAAGAGGAGGTGGTGGATCACGAACAACCGCAACAGCAGGTGATTGCTAGTTTTGCAACAGGCAAAAATGGACCCACGTCAGTCACATGCTGCAGTTGCAAAAACATTTATCAGGATTGTAAGGCATGTAATCCCAGTCCGAACAGTGGCGCAGTGACCGCATAGGAATGATCTCTCTGATGACCAACAATCTGACATTCCCTTGAAACCCGCGCATTGGCGGGAACACTTGCTAAGTGCAGGGGCATTAGGGATGGGCCAACAGTTCGGAGGATAACGTGTTCTTCTCAAGTGATTCTGAACTTGCATATGACGAGAATAGGAACATGTAATGCACCCAGGACCATCGTAAACATGATTGTTTTGATGGTCCATTCGACATGGAGGAGGCATAAAGTTGAGGGGATCCCCATCTTGTGATCGCGGTACACTTCCTCATCGAAGTTTTTGTAACACTGTACTCCTCTCTTATGTTCATCTTGTCCGGGGTGCGCCCGACCTCAACTTCAGTCGTATGAAGGACAATGTGCAAGCGAATCGAGCAGTTTAGAATGGAAACTACTGGAAAGCGAAGATCATCGCTGATGGAGCCTCACCGCCTCTTCAGTAATTCTTATGAAGTCCATGCGGCCTGTAGTCAGGAGAGCTATTGTGGCGCATCCTCATGCGTCAATAACTGTCCACCAGTTGTTAACTTCCTCATGTATGCTCCAAATTTCATCACCTTAGGTTAGCTAGCAGTGAGGTTTCATGCGAAAATTACCTCCGTCCTTAAGTTTTGCACACCAGTGCACTTTCAGTTAGCTAGAGGAGTGATACAT